GAATTTGAAAGTGTAAAAAAATGACTCCGCCATAATGGATAAACAAAAAGTTACAATCCATTTTGGGCATGCACCTCTTTGTCCTTGGGCTTTAAAACAACTCCGCTTGGCCGCTTTGATCAATTTATGAATTTGAAAGTGTAGAAAAATGACTCCGCCATAATGGATAAACAAATGCTGGCTATGGGGTTCGAACCCATGCGCACTTATGTGCAGAAGATCTTAAGTCTTCCCCCTTAACCTCTCGGGCAAACCAGCTCGTTGTTTTCTAGATGTATTTTGTAGTTTATAATCGTTTTTATCGCACTTCGTCCCACGAAAATTCTTTATGTACCCTTTAAATATGAGTACATTTTATTTAAATTTCTTCCTAATGTTAAAGTAAATTGAAATGAAAATAACATAATAAGTCAAATATTGTTAAATCGCTTCATCAATTTATCTCTGTGACAAATATAGTATCACTTTCTTTTGATTAAATAATTAATCCAAAGTGGACCAAGTACATGACACTAAAATTCATCACATATCGTGTTTATCAAACTAATTTGATATTTACATAGAGTAATTTTTATATCCATTCACTCTCGTTCAAGTAGAAACGAGACAGTACAATACCATGTATCCCACCGTCTCAAATTAAATTGTCTGTTTCTTATTCATATGGTCAAACTTCATTCACTTGCTTTCTCTATTTTAGTTAGTCATTTGAAAAAAATAATATGGTCATGTCACCACTGGTTTTCTACTCCGAATAGATCTTTTGATGTAATTTTTAAATATATAATTTTTATTTTTCAATTTTACACCATTTTTTTTATATAAAACCATTTTTTATATAAACAATTTAAAAATAATTTTAATTAAATATCGTTAACCGAAACATGCGATTTAAAATGGAACTGAGAGAATAATACTTAACCCAAAAAATGGGCCCCCCTATTTTTTTTTTTTTGCTTTTTTTAAAATTTTTAAAGTATAAAATTTTAAATTTGCAATTGTTTAAGGAAAAAATGAAATAAAAAATCTAAAAATGTAGTTGTTATTTAAATATTTTAAATGAATAATACACTAACTGAAGAACAACCACATTTAATATCCTGACGGTTCAAAAAAAGCGACGAGGTAAAGAACCGTAAAGAAACTCTCGAAGGAGCTTATACATCGCTCACCTAAAAAAACTAATTACATATTTACATTAACATAAAAAAAATTATAACTTATTCTTCAGAACTCGGACTTCCATCTGTTGTTGCATTCATGTAATGCTCCGATTCGAGTTGGTACGTTGAGTCTTGAGCTCGACGTCTTGCCAAGAGCCAATCTTGGTTGCAAACAAGTGTTTCAAGAGATTCAGCGCTAAGACAACTTCGAAAGTCGGTTAGAATGTTGCCGCCAGCACTGAATTCTCGTTCAACTGCTACGGTTGATACCGGAACGGATAACACTTGTCTTGCTAGCATGCCGAGACATGGGAACATGTGTTCGTTCCGCTTCCACCATCCGAGCACGTCAAAATCCACTTCGTC